GTCTGGGCCTCTTTGCTTAGGCTGCTGCCCCCGCGACCCGGCCCCGGACAAAGCGGATGAAGATGGATGAGTTGAACCCACTGATCGGTTGGCTCGACTCTGAACTGAAGCTCTGACAGTGACGCATGCATGGATTTTAAGACTTGTGGTGATGGCTTGATGACTCGTAAAAGCTTATATGAGCTTGTCTTGTAGTAGAGGATGGAGAGGGAATGCCTGGCTGGTTAATTTACTTTGGGTAAGGTAGCGATAACTACTGTGCCAGTTTCTGAAATGTACAGCGGTGAGAGTAAGCAGAACTGAAATACTGATTAGAAGACAACTGCTTGCCATAAAAATAACCCCCAAAACCGGCAGAGAGGCAAGCAGAATTCCACCGAACATCGAAGAAGATGATAATGCTATGTTGGATGCTGTCAGAACCACAAGTCTGCTTGGATTGCTGTCTCGAATAACTGCATTTAGATGATGCTAGTGAGAGCACTTGAGAAGTGAAGGGACACCTTGAGGAATTAGGCCTATTTGCGAGTTCAAATGTCTTAAAAGGAGTAATAAAGGACAAAACCTGGTATCCAAACAATGACCAAAGAATCAGAAACAGACTTAATGAGGGGGGTCTAATGGTCTAACATCCTTCAGTGGGCCCTATTCTCACTGCCCACCACTATAGAGACCAACAGGTCTTTGCCATAGAGTACCAGAATTGACAGGTCCACCACTGGCACTCTGTGTTGATTCTATCTATCTATCTATCTATCTATCTATCTATCTATCTATCTATCTACCAACCAGACATTCTGATGAACTCACATGTTGGTCATCCTCAGACTTACCAGTTGACTATTTAAGCTGGAGGAATTTTCAGCTATGTATACATTCTTCCACAACCCTCAGACTGACAGGCAAAATAATTCAGTTTCTGGCTGCATTTATTAATGTCACCAACACTATTTACAGTCTGTCTGACCACTTAGACATTTGTCTCATCCTTGGGCTATTCTGAACTTTCCGATTCAACTCAATTCTGTTTTATTTATATAGCACCAACATTCACAACAGTTGCCTCAAGGTGCTTTATACTCACTAATTCAGATTTAGCCTCTCCTCCACCAAGTACAATTCAAGTTGCCTGCTTGAATACTGAAAAATCAAAAAATAAACAAACAAACAAACAAACAAAAAAACTAGCCACAATTTGCCTCCTTCTTGACTTGTTTATTACAACATATAAAAGCACATTTGGAATCAAATCCACATTCTAGCTACTGCTGTAGGACAGGTAAGTATCACCTTTTTTTAATTCCTTAAGTTCTATTTAGGACCATGTCTCTTATACTTATTAACATATACATCCAACTGTTAATTTAAACTGCTGACGGCCGAAAAAGGTCAAAAGTCATGTATATTCACAGGTACAGTTATTTTCCATTAGACATGTTAATTTTACAGCCTCTTTTGTAATTGTAACGATATTTCATCTATTTACAAAAGTAACAGGAAAATTCTGTAGAATGACAGACTGTTTTTACAGTGTACATTAGACCACAATATTATGGTTCATGTATTGAGCACTGCCATGCTCCTTTTTGAACATGAACTTTATTTGGAGTTGTGGTTGCTCGTTTTCCTTTTGTTTTGCTTTGTTCATTTGTCTCTTTTAATTCTATTTTGTTGTACTTTTTCAACATGTTCAAAATAAAGATTCAATCAATCAATCAATCACTGCCATGCTTTGAAATCCAGTTTTAGACCTGGAATAAAAGAAGCTGTGGCTTCTTTTATTTCTCTGTTCACCGTTGACAATTCTGAGTGCTGCTTTAAGAGTATAGCAGGGTGTGTCCACACAGCTTTGTTACCCGCTCAGGCAACCCAGTATCACGTGGTCTCAGCCTCTCCCTGGTTCACTGCCAGGCTCCCTTTCACTACAGCTTCACTAAAGCTTGAGTGGTTAATACTCAGACTTCTCAAACTACAGATTTATGCATTTTCTTTAAAAGCACTGACATATTGTGAGGTAAGTGAACTGCTAAGTGTTTTGTTTTTTACAGAATATAAAATATTTTGTAGGGCTTTAAATTATCACTGGAAATTTCTTCTTGTTTCCTGGCAGACTAAGCACGGTTTAGTTCATTCCTGCCTGAGGTGTTCAGTTTCTATTCCTGCCTGTAGCCTTTCAAAAAAGCAGCAGTTGGCTGATATTGCTGTTTTTACATCAACCTTGAACAAACCTACAATTTATTTAAGTTATGGAGCGCCTGAAGTTAGTCTTGCAGTACTTCCAGTCCAACTCCGAGTCCATCTCCAATGGAATTTGTATCATCCTCGCCCTGGTTAGTGTCAAGCTTTACACCAGCTTCGACTTTAACTGCCCGTGCCTCCCTCAGTACAACAAACTTTACTCTCTGGGAGTGATGATTGTCCCGCCTATTATACTGTTCTTCCTGGGAATCCTTGTCAACCGGCATACAGGTGTCATGATGGACGAGTGGATGAGACCCATTGGGAACAGATCCAAAAATCCTGCTGTTGTCAAGTAAGTCAAGAATTTGCTATCTAACAGAAGCACACAGACAGGCTGCTGTTGCTATTATATGTAACTGCACAGTAAATGAAGTGAAATGAAAGTACTGATTAGTACTAATTAAGTTCGGTGAAATCTGTAGTGTGCTGCATCACCTCTTGTTTTGATAGGTCTAGAGTGCAGGCAGAGCAGTTTATCAACTAGACTTTTTTTTTTACTATGGGATTTATTCCATAGTTCCATAATTTATTATCTATTTATTTCAGCATTAATGTGACCTTGTAGATGCAAGTCCCAAATCCAGATCCTTTTGTATTACACACCAAAGAAATGGACACTGTTCACATCTTTTCCTATTTTGTTTTGCAGGTACTTGTTCTCAGCCATGATCCAGAGGGCCCTGCTGGCACCAATGGTGTGGATCCTGGTCACTTTGCTAGATGGAAAGATCTTTATCTGTGCTTTCAGTGTGAGTGTAGACCCTGCACTCTTCTCAGGTAAACACATGCTAAACTATTCTTCTGTTAAATACCATCTTTTTAGTCTCACAACAGTTTTGGATGATATAAAGTTTGTTTCGACAGGTATGCCTAATAACACAGGTCTGGATGTTCTGAAGATCATGGCCAAAGTACCCTGTAAGGAGGACGTTATCTTCAGGAATAGTTCTTTCCGTAAAGCAGTTTCTCGTTATGTTCGCTGCCATTCACAGGTAAGTTCTCAGCCACATAAACAGTCCCTTGGGAATTATTATTTTTCAATGAACATTTGCTATTATTTAAAACCAACCTCCTATTAGTCTGTGAAGGATTTTACAGAAAGATGGATTGATCTGACCGAGTGTCAACCAATAAAGCAATTAGAATCTCGACCTTTTACATAGGAAATGTATTACTTACTTCAAAAAATTACAAACCCAGGGTGTCTATTATCGCTGAAAAAGGAGGCCTTTAACAATAAAATACTGTAAAAGCTTGATTTATTGGATCAATGGCAAGAATATTAGATCTGTAACAAATAACAGACATCTGCAACACTCACATCACATTAGCTCTGACACAAGCCCTGTCAGCAGTGAGGTGTTACCCAACAGCAAGAAGGGCTTGGACATGAACCTGAATAACTCAGCCGGAGCCCTTCTATGTTGAGCACCTGTGTGGGTTCCTCCCGGGTCACCAAAGACATGTTTGTTGAGTTAACTGGCAATTCTAAATTGGCCATAGGTGTGAAAGACTGCTTATTTCATTCTGCTGGCTGTGTGAGGGAACGGCAACCTGTCAGGGTGTGCAGGAACAGTTAACAAAAATGTATACAGGAAATTGTCAATTCAATTTATTTATACAGCGCCAAATCACAACTACAGGTGCCTCAAGGTGCTTTATATTGTAAGGTAGACCCTACAACAATACATACAGAGAAAAACTCAACAATCATATGACCCCCTATGAGCAGTTTGTCATATTTGGTGACAGTGGGAAGGAAAAACTTCCTTTTAACAGGAAGAAACCTACAGCAGAACCAGGCTCAGGGAGGGGCGGGGC